ATTGCACCAAGTGACGCGATCCGTTTTTGAGCCTCAGTCAAATTGTGTGGGATCCACCGAGAGCACAGCTTTTTCACACCCAAATGTTTATATACTATTGATTATATTTGACTCATGTCTATGTCCAAAGATGCTCAAATCTCATGACATGTCACATGCCTGTCTGATTTGATCATACGGCGCATAGCATCAATGTTTTTGTTGTTCACAGCAGTGGACGGGCGACCATCACGAAATTCGTCACTGAGATTCATACGACCGCGTTTGAAATCTGCAAACCAGCTATAAATAGTCATCTTGCATGGTGCTTCATCGCTAAAAGAAGCTCCGCTGAGCTGTTGAATTACACTTAAAGTCGTAGAAAATCATACTACAAAAATTTTCACGAGTTAAATCCATGGTGATGTAGACAACCAATTTCTAAAATGACGCCACAATTTAAAAACAAGTGACATTCAGATGAAACAAACTGTATTCTACTATTTCAAAAGTAGCCACTCTTATATTCATGTTAGGCAGTGAAAACGTGATTTTTAATTAAGTTCTTTATTAATTATTTATAAAAGTTTTATTTCTGTTATAAAACCAAGATTATGACTAACAACATCCCGTAACGAATCAGCGTGGAAAGTATGAGGGTTGTATAATGTCCAAGAGTATCTTTATCTTTGCAAATAGCCTCTCTCTAACAGGCAAGACAAGTAAAAGAGGTCGCCGGTACACAGAAAATGTCTGGAGAAGCTTTTGGTCAATGAAATACCTGATGAAGGGAAAATGGGAGTTTCTCTTCTATTTCTTGGGAAAAAATCAGTCAGACTGTGTCAGGAACGTTATACTGCCCCCCAAAACACAATTCGTTGACGTTGGTTAAAAAACCGCTAGCCTAAAATTGAACTGGGCCGGACATGTCTGTTGCATGCAAGCGAGCTGTAGAAAAGACCCACCAAACGCTGTCCGTCTTGCGTGGAAGAAGGAGATGGCAAATGCGCTAAATAAAGTATGTAGCAGCGTTAAATCGCTTTGAGTGGACTAACGAAAGGGACACCTTAGTCCTCCAATGAAAATTAAGTGAAATTATGCTTTTTATTTACTGAATTACAGGCACATCTTTGCGATTTAAATCTCTAAGTAGCACTGCAACTGTCATGAATAATTGTGTAGCTTACCACCAGGTGTACGACGTGTTCGTCCCATCGCTTAATATAATTAAGAAACAATCTAACTGCCTCCGTGACCGAACGGTTACATTTCCCGGGTTCCATTCCCGGTCCTCGAGAAATATTTGTATGGCTGACATTTATTTCTATCGTGAGTTTGTGTTGTTTATGTCTGTGTCCACGGCACCCGTGATACAGGTTTCCCTAGTGCAAGCATAGGAGTGTGTGCATTAAAAAAAAATGGCGTTTAATGTATGTAGTTTCAGATAGAGAGGACTTGATTTTATTACCGTCTTTCTTCTATATTTACAGATTTTAAGTTCCACTCTACATTGCTATGTCCTATTGGACATTGTCCTATGGACCAGAATAATAAATTACAGTTGGTTTAGTGTTTATTTAAGTATCAAAAGCGTCAATATTCCTGAGACTGAAAACATCAGTCTTAAAAATGTCAAAAGATGGTCTGGATTCGCGAAATTTTTGGGACCGAGAATCCCGGAATGAAAGCTCTAAGTTCTAACACCATTATAAGCATCCTACTACACATACTACGATAATCCGTCATATGGCTCCTGTATATGGTAGCTTTACTTTCTCAAACTCGTGTCTTTAAACACAGAGATACTGAAATGAAAAAAATGGATTGCATAAACAAATTTTGCAAGCTGATTTCACATCAAATTTTCTTCATATTTACACACTGACTTTTATCTATTCTTAAAGTACTGCATCTAAATGAACATCATCGATAAGAAAATTAAAACAAATAGCATATTTTACAACAACATGCGAAAGTAAGCAGCACATTTTTTTCACTCTTTGTCTATCCACAACTTTGTAAAATCATAAAAGCCTAAACACCCAACTGCTGAAATTTTAACTAGATAAAAAAAAGCTTTTATAAAATTGGCTCGGTAATGAAATACCTGTCTTTTACATCGGTGTCTGGTAAATGGAACGAACAATCTAGCGTCGAAGAACTCAATACCGTTATAGCTTTTATATCGATCTGATGACCTTTTCTGCAGAAAGAGTTTCAAAAGAAGGGGAAAGTTCATATTATTGACAAGAATAAATTACAATTTACAAATTTGGAATTCAGAGTTGTCCCGTTAAATTTGCATAAAGAGCTCAAACTTGAACGTATTAAAAAGTAATGCCTAGAGCTTTCGCCGCATAGACAAATTATCGACCATTGAAAATCCATTTTCATCTTTTTCCGTTTTTATACACTTCGTAATAAATTAATACGACGCCCTTTTGTGTTACCCATATCAGCTGAAAGTATTATTTCGTGTTGGACTGTATCAGAGTAAAGTCAGCCAACGTTAGTGAACTAATTCTTAATAAGAACATCTAACACGACGGCTGATTGACTAGGGTTCATTTGATTGAAACCATTGTGGTTCTTGTGACACAATGATCCTTCCCAATATTAGAAGCCGTTTTTGACGGTTGTTTTTGTCACGGAGAATCGCCCTTCAATTTGTACATCACAATTTTGCATTAGTATATATCACATTGGACGAAACCGGTCGGCCGGTCTTACGATCCATTAACCACTATTTTCGAATTTTCACCTACTCCAAAATCAAAATTAATTTCTTCCAGTTGACTCAAAAAGGGATGTTTTACATTATATTCTAACAAAGCAAAAATAATGGTATTCTCAGCGTGTAAGGTTTGTTATATATTGGCCTCGCACCGTAATACACGTATTTCGTTTCTCCAGAGCTATTTCAATGATGAACTCTGCGTAAACTACTCATTTAACACAACATTGAGAACCAATGGTGAGAGTATAAGACTTTTACCTACATAATGAATGCGCAGACACGTTGAGCCGAGCTGGAAGTGAAGTTATTCAATAATGGATTGGCACATGATTTGGTCGCCGAATATTAAACTCAAACATCTTAATAAGTTCTAATCGATGGAGTTAGTAGTTATATATTTTACCAATGAACGTTGATTTTTATGGAAGTCAAAAACTGTCAGTATGAACATTTTAAAGGAATTCAAAATAAATTTCGAGGGAATTCGTTGACAATCCAATTTGAATTAATTGTACTTCATCGTATTTAACAAAGATTGGTTTTACTTGTACCAACTACTTATAGTTCGGCTTTCAGTTAAAATGTCACAACTCCTTTAATAAAATACGTTCTAAGTAAAATACGCTTCTAAGTCCGACGTAACCGAACTTAAATTCTTAAACGATACGGTTCTAAAAGCATTACGTATTAAGTAGTATATATAAAGAAACAATAAATTGAGGATTTGTAAATTAGTTAAAATATTGCGTAATATCCCGTAGCACTTAACATTGCTACGCCGACCCGCTGGCTAGCAATATGGCTACGCCTCGTAGACTTTACATCACGTACACGTCATGTCACAGCTTTTACTTATGCAAAATAGTCAGACCTGTAAACATGTATACGTTTATTTTTACTATATAAAGAAAGGATTTTGCTTGCAAGTTTTTTGAAAATAAGTGATTTTCAACGCCGGGATTTTGCTATTCTTTCTTTGTCAATTTCATCAGTATTCTATTTCGGTATTCGGAATGTGGGATGAATGGAGCAAAAATGTTAGATGAATATGAAAATCTAATGATAATGTAACAAATTCATGTTTGAAGCATAATGTAGTTTAGTTTTTTAGAAATCGCGTATGATTAAAGTTAAATTATATTTTTAATACGTGTAGAGTTGTGTTCGTGACGGTAGAATGAAATGGAAAGGCAGCACAACAAATTTTTTTTACAAATCGTGAATGGTGACTCTGTAAAGTCTGAAGTTTAAAATTCTCATTACATTTACAAATCGTCACTGTAGGGCGGCATCGCCAACTACAAATGAAAATTTCATTCAGCCGGTAAAAAGCTTTATCTATTATTCAATAAAAAATAATATAATATGCAGTTTGACCAAAAATTCCTTGGTATGTATATTCCGAATAGGTCTTCTATCAATTACTTAATAATTAAAGTAGTTGCTTGCTTATTGATTATTAGTTAATTTTAAATTTGGATTTTTTTTAAAAGAGTTTTTTACTGTTAATTAATCGGTTTTTGTTATATAATAAAACACTTTTCGTTGTAGTTTTCGAAAAAATAGTTAGTGAATAAAATTGTTACTATAAATAAGCAATTACGCAGCACTGTAAGTTCTCAAACGGCGCCGAGGACTGCGTATAACGAGGCCTAATGACGAAATGCGACTCAGAAATAGAGTTACTAAAAGCAGGGGCCGGGATAAATCTTATGACATGACAGGATTACGGTAATTCTCCTTAGTATAATGTAATAAAAAGGGTACAAGAAAACACAATTTTACTTAGCAGTCCATTATTTTGTCGCGAATAGTACCAACTGCGGACATAAATAAATTTATTACATCCTTCCGACGGCATTTGATGTTTCGAAGCTCACAAAAACTCCGTTTCACCCAACCTGTTCTGTTGTACGTTGTAGTGTCGTTAGTAAGTCACAGGGAGTAAAAAAACTAAACATCCCTAGAAATTTTCTCTGTTTGCAACAATAATGCACAAAAACTACCCTACTTGTTGATTATGTGCGCAACAGTTTTCTTTGTTGACAAAACGATACGATAGTGATAAACCGTATATAAAATTCGATGATATAATAAAAGAACGTGTTTTTAATAAAAAAATTTTTCCCAAATCATTCCCAATTTTATAGGAACGAAAAAGAAAATATCCGAGTTTTGCGCCCAAATTACAAAACGGTTCGCTAGCGATTTCGCAATATTGAAATTAAAAAAATATACATACATATATACCTACTTTGTGTGTTCTTAAGTATTAAGAACTTACCTTTAACAACAGCAAGTTCAGTATGCAATAGAAGAATTGTCGATAGAGGCTGATGATGAAGATATTGTAAGTTTTTTTGGGGTGGAAGTTTCCGCGAAAGGCGCGTCCGTATTGTTGGGCTGCTCGGGGCAGACTGCAACAAGAACGGCTACACAGTTCCGAATGGTACCTTTACCTGTTACTTTGTTCCCAAGGGGCGGGAATTGCGCGATAGGGATGGATGGAAAAAGAAGGAATAGGTTACATATCTGGCTCTCTCCGGCTGTAACGGATAACAGGATTTTGGACTGATAGCTTCATATACATTATTCATGTGACTGAACAAAAAAGGCTTTGAATTGTTCCAAGTAATTGATAGAATTAGAGATATAAGAGTTCGTTTTTTCACGAAACTCTTTCGTTATTGTTTTTTATTCCCTTTTTAAGAAGTAACGAGTTTTATTTTTATTTATTTTCGGCAGTGATACTTTACACCATGCACTAGCCACACTTTTATTCAGCACACGCTACATTTCCCACCCCTTAATATAATTTGACGTATCTTTGTCTCATTCCAGCGCATGTCGCATAACAGATTGATGAATAGGAGTGAAAAAGACAGGTATGTTTCTTTAAGCTTGCGCTAATGAGTGATTCAGTTCATGTCATGGAAAATATGCTGAAATTTCAGCAGTCTGTACTGGGGTAAAACGTGAAATTATACATGTAATACAGATTCTTAGTAATTATATTGGCTGTTATTGCGGAATGTGTTTTAACACGTTGAATGCGAACTGGATCATAACAATGATATTTAACCGGTTACTTTAATCCTTTACTTCTTGAAACTATAAAGTTTAAGGAGCCATAATGTTCAACAATCACGTGTAATTAAAAGAGCTATGAAGACTATTGCGATTAAACTGCAAAAGTCGTAGCCACAAAGCTCTGTTAAGTTCTTTTTTTCTTAAGTAATTTACAAGGTTATTGAAATATAAGCTGTAACCTGTACCATGTATGTGAATCACAATTGGAACTACCTATTTTTTCACTTTGTGCTTTAGAACCAATGCGTAGAGTCGAAAATGCTTTTTGTTTCAACTTCATTTCAACATAAATCTTTGTAAAGATATTCTTTTTTCCACAGTCGTTGATGCCGACGGAAAGGATACAATAAAACCTGTTTCGACTATACAGTCGGAATAAATTGCGTTCAAATTTCGATTTCAATGTGCTTGTAAGGACCTCGTGACAATATGGTGTAACGTTTGCCCCTGACGTAGACAATGAATGACTGTTGAGTTGGATCTCTATCCTGTCTAGGCTTATTATTGTCAAAACAGCTGCAATGTCGAACAATGGTAATCCATTTTTTTTCTCTAAAATAGCAACGTTGTCACCTTCAAAATTTTGCGAATCTTCATGACTTCTACTGTAATGCAAAAATATGTGTTGACGTGTGTGAAATGTGTTTGAAAAATTTCCTTTTGAAGAATATACTTGTAGATTTGATTTCCTATAAAAGTCTCACGTCTCTTTTTGTCATATTGGGATCAACAAGCAGCAACTCATTACAAAAGTACATAGTTATAGCTAACAAATAGTGACTCAATGGGTAACCGTTAAATACAGTTTACGAAAACAGTTTTCGAAGCCCGTAAATACTGCACTCCTAATTCATCGATGACTACCTACGAGTGACGTTAACACTAAATAAGGATAAAATCGTGACAATCATCATCATTCTAGCCGGAAGATGTCCACTGTTGAACATAGGTCTCCCCAAAGATTTCAAGGAGAAGATACAGTAATGTAATTATGTAGTCAGATACAGGATCCCTCTTGCCGTCATTCTTCATCTAATAATATGACCTAAAACTATAGATAAAAATGTTAGAATAGAAACAATAAATGTGTACACTAGCTCGATCTTTGGAATGACACTGCGAATGCTGGAACAATTCGCAAAATGCATTATGCATTTATTGGTCTCACATTTTACATCTATCAAAATGAGTTCTAGAGTTCTATGTTCAACCTTTAGCATTGGATTTAAAGTTGATTCTTTTTCCGACTAACACAATTCGCACCGCCAGTTTCTCTAAGGAAACTTATGCGTTGTAAGTTTGAGTGAAAAAGATCTAGACAGTAATGTGGTTCAGTCTTTGCTGCAGTAAAAGCCTTAATTGATTACTTCTCGTTTTTCATTACGCTGCCCCCCCCCCCCCCCCCCTTTTGCATTTTCGTAGCTTAGTCGTGTGTTATGTTTACAGTTCACTAAATTGAAAACAAAATTGTAGTTGTCACAATAATTTATTAATACAAAGAGTGAACATCAAGGAAACTTCCTTCGATCTGGCTGGATTCGAACCAGGGTCTTCAAGCATTCCGTGCCAGAAGAAATTTTTTCTGTATTGTTGATACTTTTAATATAATATGTTTCTGGAATGAATATCTATGTCCTAATTAATTATAATAGTAATGTTCCAGAATTTTCTGTACTATGAGTACTAGAATAACGGAATACACTCAGACCAAAATTTAACTGCCTCTGTGGCCAAACGGTTGCCGTGCTGGACTGCCACGCAGAGGCCCTAGCCCTTCGATTCCCGGGCCGGGAAAATATTTGTATGGCCTTTCTCTCTTGATTTTGGGTGTAATTTGTGGTTGTGTATATGTGTATCCATAGCACACGCGACACAGGGTTTCCCTAGTGCGGGGCTGCGAGTGTGTGTGTCATTTAAAAAAAATTATATAAATAGTTCATTTCCCAAATTTGTCCTACTGAAAATCGAACCCGGGTGCTCCAGAGTCCGCAGTACAAACCGTTGGACCACCGAAGTTGTGAATTATCGATTGATTGATCATATCAATTAAATAACACTGACTTTAATAACTCTGTTTCCATTAGAGTATATTCTCTGTGCTAGGATCATATTTTTATGAAAAGGTCAAAGCTTTAAGAACTGGAAATTGTGTTCACTTCTTTTTTAATCGTCCTTCTAGGAGACGACAGACAGGGCTTGTAGTAGGTACGTGTACGAGATCATATCAATTCGCATACGACGTACGAGTCAGAATATTCTTGTTCTTAAAAGTACAAAGATTTTAGATTAAAAATGTTTTTCAAATTATTTTAAATACTTTATATATGGTATAAATATTTACATTTCACTATACTACGTAGCAATTACTGCTTAAATTCTGTTTTGAGCAAATCGATAAAATGAGTCGTTTGAAATGTCAAACGATATTAAAGCCTATAGCAGTGGTGGCAGACACTTGGGCGGTGTTCTAACTTCAGTATGTTTTTCTAAGTAATAAATAGTAGGTTCATGTGCCATGATAGTTTCGCATCCAATTCAATTCTGGCAACCCTGTGGTAGAATTCAATATATTTGGCAAACGTTTGCAAATTGTTTGAGTTATATGATCTTTAACCGCGAGGGTCGTGGGAGGTGGGTTCTTCGAGCATCGACTCATATCAATTTTCTGTAGAACAACATACACTTAAAATATTTTGTTTCAAATTAAGTAAAGCTAGAGTTTCGAACTTTTGTTTTAATATATGTATATTCTAAATGCTAGAGTTCTAAAATACTAGAAGTCTAAAGGACTTTAAGTAAATTTTCTCGATTGTAATTCATCAGTTGCAACTCTTCAGCTTATGGGACTTGTCAACTTATGCCTCAGGGTGACTGGCGGAGTGGCATCTCAGATCTTTACGATTTAAAGCTCTGAGTGGCACTTCAATTGCTATGGACAGGCTCACCACCAGGCGCGCGACCTCTTCGTCTCGTCACTTGATATCATAAAAAATAATTTCATTATCTAAAACTAATTACACAATGTCGCTGGAACCAAAGAACCTAACATCACATTTATTTTGTCATAAAATTCACAAGGGCGAAGACGTACTGTGGCATTTTATGGAAAGGTCCATATTCTAAAGACAGAAGTGGAGTATATCATTTTGGAGATTTGACCTCTGAACTTAAAATGAAAATGGAACGACCTTTTCCGCACGTGTATGTTAGCACTAGGAAATGTAAGCGTATCGATTTGTGCTAAGTTAGCACAGCAAATCCACCGCTCACATCAAGGAGTTCTATACGTGCATAACACACCTTCGCATTTAGCATAAAGACTAATTACTGAAACCACGAAATCTCGCTATAAGTCTACTTGCTTGTTATAGTTTATTTTCCTAACACTTAGGTGTATATAGACCACGAACCAATACACATCGCTTTTCAAAAGCTATTAGAATATGCATATGTGCCTTTCGTAGTCTGTAAAAAATGTAACTTAAAAACCCACTCATTCACAATAGGCAAAACCAACTAAAGTTCATGGCGTAGGCGTTTTGCAGAAGTCGCGGTTACTGTTACACAATGGCTCAGAGCGGGGTCTCGGAGCCTCGTTTCATTTTGACGTCATACGACAACAGACTGTTAACGTATGTAGGTGGACTACGTACATTTTGTATTGTTATGAAATGTATGAGTATTTTACACGTAGAACGTGACATTAATTGATAGTTCATCATTGCTACATTTGCCGGCTGTAAAATGTACTTTTTTAAATTTTCTAATCTCCTGTGCGAGAAATACTGTCGCCTGCCTTTACCACGTCAGGGCGGACGTCCTTCTTTACTGTCGTTAAATATACTTACATCCTTAATAGTGAAACCATGATTGTGGAAGTCAAAGTACATATTTCTAATAAGCCCATTGCGGGGTCTTTCTTCTGCTATATGGGGTGTAACAAAATGGAGTATACCTATTTACGGAAGCGTCATTGAAGTTAGAAGTTCGGCGACAAGACACTAAATTTAGCGATTTGCGCTTCATCGAAGACGTCGGGTGTAGTTAATTCCATAATCACTTTCAAACTACTCAAATATAGATATGCAGAGGTAATGTTGCGTTTCAATTTTACGAAAACGGTTCAAGGACTTGTTCATAATTGAAACAAAACTAAAAGGCACAACGAACACGTTCAACCTTGCGATTATTTTTGATGAGTAGAACGTGAAACGCTTAAAATTTGTCGTTAAATAAATGCAACGCTTTACTTCTTTTTGTTTGAAATATACAAATACATGCCATTTAAGTACATCCGAAAAAAATGTATTCAATTTAATTATTAATTTTAAAAATAAGTAGGCT